CTCGCAATTGCGAGTTTATATCACGCAATTCTGAGAAAAATGTCAGAATTGTGAGATAAAAAGTCGCAATTACCTCTTTTATTTTTTATTCAGTTGCGGAAATGGGCTTCCATATATATCACTTCAGTACGAGTCAGAAATGTTTTGTTATGTTACTGAATTCCTAATGAAGCGGTTTGTTAAGATTGTTTCCAGAAGGACGAGAGAGCTGTAGAAACTTAACGACTTTTTCTGCTGACATAAGTAAAGGCTTCTGTAATACACACACCCAAACATGCTGGCAAACTCACCCTGCAGTCCACTGTCTCTGAGGGTAAGATGAGCCGATGGCCGTCGGCTGCCAGTGGTGAGTAATTTTGTACGTGGAGGGATAGCGACTCTTTCTGCGAAAAACAGTAAAGAACAAAGAGTGAACAAGTCAACAAAGCTAAAAAAAAAAATAATAATAATTTAATGTCATTTACAAATATAGATGCACTCAATTTTAAAAGAGACTGTGGGTTAGTTCAGGTAACAGCAGAAAGATTTTTTTCAATTGAAGAGGAAGAAACACTTGAATTCCTGTGGTCTCATGTTACCTTCAAAGGTGTGTTTCGAGATTATGGTTTCTGTGACCTAAAAGAGAGCAAAAAATGAAAGTACCCATATTTGTAAGAAAATACAGAAAACAAAAGACGTTTATACATACATTTCTGCCAATTATAGGGTGCTACTGAAGTGCACATTCCTGATTTCGTTGAAAGATTGTTACACATTTGAAACACATCAACATCACTAAGACATTTTCCACATTCAAGTCCATGTCAAAAAAAAACAATCCAAGCTCTTTTCTGGAACACCAGAGTGGAACAAAAACATTAAAGTTACAAATGAGAGAGAATAGGCTTTGTTACATTTGATATATTTGGAGCACATTCTTAGTGCAATAGGCCAAATCAAATATTTATTATGTCCATCAGTCTGCCGATATGGCAGTCGTCTTGGAATTACACACCTAGTGGTGTGGATGTAGCATTATGCAAATACAGAAATTTTCAGCAACTGATGCCACTGTTGAAATGCACTATTCACAGTCAGCCATGGCTAATTTATTCAGTGAGCTATAGTGCCCAATAATAGAGAGATTACAGAGATGAAGTGAATAGTATTCGTCTGGTTATGTGTGATCTCAGTATGGCTTTGCATCTTTTATTAGGTTTCTGGTATGACTGGAGTCTTATCTTGCATGTGTCCATGATTTTAAACATTCTATTAATTCTTAAAGAAATTCTTCATAAAATTCTATTATGCTCTTTTACTTTTGTTTTGGGGGTGTACTAGAACAGGCTCTCATACTAGGTTGTTCAAAAAACATATTATTTTTCACATATTTTACATTATTACAACACCTCTCTCCCCAGTCTGGCATGAACAGCTCGAATAGTTCCTGTATCAAATGAAGGGCCCGCCTTCTGAAATACGAAATGTGCTGTGATTGGTTAGCTGGGCCAGTGTGTGTTTTGAAAAGTGATTTCTGTTAAATAAAATATCTCCTTTTGAAGTGGACTTTGAGCTTTGTAACTTCGCAGATCTTTTTTTATGCTCAAACAGCAACATTACAGACTAACTAAAGTTGAAAAAGTGAAAAAGCATAATAGGACCCCTTTAACACTTTTGAGTAAAAATGACTAAGTGCACATTCAAAAAAAAATAAAAACCCACAGTTGACAAAAAATTACTAATGAGGGGCCAGAAATCTTGAACATGATTTAAAAAAACCTAGTTTCCAGAGGAACAGATTAATGCTCATGCTTTTGATGTACTTGCATGCTTATTAAAAATACAGCATCTCTTTACCTTGGAGATGTAGGCTTTGAGTCCTTCGGCCAGTTTGATGCACGGCTCACCAAAGAGCTGGACCAGGTCATCAGGTACATCCTGTTCTTTCTCCAGAGCGTTCAGAAGACCAAGACACCTCAGCTCCTCCACTACACCTTGTGTCCGAGCCTGTCAATGACACATTCACCAGTCCACTTAAAAATGTTTAACGTGTCCTCACGTGATGAAACATCCTAAAAAGCTATTTTATCATGAATACATGACAGAACCTTCATAACTCAAAAATAATTTATATTTAAAGTTGTATAATGTGTAGTTTTTGACCGATTTTTATAAAAATAAATTCCTGGTTTCGGTTCAAATGGTGGTTCAATAAATTTACTTTTTTTTTTTTAGATATGCGATCTCTAAATACTGGAACTAAAACTGGACTCAATGAGTGTAAGTGGTCATAAAAAAGGCAAACCTTCAGCCGTCCGTGGTTAAAAATTGCCCGACCGTAGGAAATGAATGAGAAAAAGCAGATTTTTTTTTTTTTTTCAAAAATATGTGTTGAATAAAATGTATATATCAGCCACAATGCCGAACAAACACACAGAAATTAAGGAGTGAGACTGTAAAACATCCAAAGCGCAAAAGACCTCACCAACTTTCTAAGAATTCTTTCACAGCAGGCAGCTGCATAAAACACTTCGGCCATTTAATGGCCTTTATTGTTATAAAATGACAATAAATGTTATTTGTTCACAAGATGGCAGCAGTCTGGCCCAAATACATAATACATTCTCATATTTTCTTTGTTTCAGCTTATAGAAGTGTAGATATTTACTGTAGTAATGTTCAAAACGTTTGCATATTTGGTTATACAGATGATGGTGAAATAGAGAAATGTATAAATAAGATCTAAGATCTAAATGACCCAAAATTACCAAAAAGTACACAATTTAATTGTTACTACTACAGAGAAGTTATTATCATAAATATTTAAACAAAAATGACCGTGAACATCCAAAGCGTGAAAAGCTTAGGAGGGTTAAAAATGTCAGAATAATAAATAATATCAGAAAACTGCCTTTTCTAGTCACAATCATGCTCCGCTCTGCATACTTTTACTATAGCCACACACACTAAAAAAGAGAGGCCTTTGGGGGCTGAACAAACAAATTCCCACAATGCAAAAATATTTTGACAAGAGACCACAAGAAAAAAAAATGAAGTTTTCTAAATGCCTACAAATCCCTCGGTCACTAGAAAAACAGACTAGACTCTGTGGGTAAAGATATCTGAACTAAGGCTTCTGTGGTTGACATTTTGACACAGTATTATTGTTTTTAGGACCCCTTGCATATTTTGTCTACTGTACTCATCACATGCGGCCCAAACTGCAAAACTCCCCCTTCAAAACCACGGACCTCGAGCTCTTATATAGCAGAGTATTTCAAAGTAATTAATATGCTAATTAAACCTGACAGCCTTTCTTCTGATTTAATTAAAGTTTGTATTTATGCTGGTAGAGGGCCCCAAATCTTTGTTTATCTTTGAGGGGAGTTTCCTAAACCACTTTCAGCCTTCTGAAAACTCCTTGAACAATAATTGTATAAACCTTTTTTTTTTTAATTATTATTTAACTTTTTGAAGAGATACAGACATTATGTTTTTGGTGTTACTTTTAATGAATACATTAAAAAATTTTTTTTAAATATTATAAGGACACATTTGATTGTTTTAACAACCAGTAAAGGGAAAAAAAGATTTCCTGAAACAATATCAACAATAACACATAAAATCATTCAGTCCATTAAGAAACTTGCCTCATGGGACATTTTCTGTCAAGAGTTTGATGAAAACTCCTTGAACAATAATTGTATAAACCTTTTTTTTTTTAATTATTATTTAACTTTTTGAAGAGATACAGACATTATGTTTTTGGTGTTACTTTTAATGAATACATTAAAAAAAAAATGTAAATATTATAAGGACACATTTGATTGTTTTAACAACCAGTAAAGGGAAAAAAAGATTTCCTGAAACAATATCAACAATAACACATAAAATCATTCAGTCCATTAAGAAACTTGCCTCATGGGACATTTTCTGTCAAGAGTTTGACAACTTTCCCACACAATACATAAATAAGGTGTCAGAATACAAAAAGACACCATACAAAAGCTCTTAGCAGAGATTAGATAAAAACAATGCAAGCTTTTCGTAAAGAATTTAGCAGTTCTATGTGCAAAATTTATTGACCTGATTCTTCGCATCAGAAATGATTATAACAAAGACCCATGGCCTAATTCTTCTGGCAGCTAAATAAACGGAGTAATCAACCATCCCAAGACTACAGTCAAAGAAAAAGCAGTGCTGATACAATGAAAACCCGTAAACCTGATACCAAGATGACAGCATGTCAGCCTGCAGGGTTAGAAAAAAGTTTTAATGCCATTTTCATATGATCTCCATTATGATTATACAATCTAAGAGCTTCAGTTCTGCGGGATGTTATGGGAACATAGGCTACACGTGAAAAGGTTTAACAAATAATATAAAGTTTAAAGACATGCATAAACTGTTCCATAAATCACTGTTAATAAAAATAACAACAATATTAGTAATGCAACTTTTTGCTGAATGCAGTTTTACCTGTGCCACTGACATGTTCAAGTATATGAAGAGCCCTGTGGTCGAGGCAACTTGAAGGACAATCACGATGACCACAACCGCTGTCACCCACAACCTGGATGGCACTTCGAGACGATTTTTGGGCTGAACCATGATGAATGAGCTCGATTCGCTACTAACAGACTGTAAATATTCGGAGTTGCCTTCGGATGCCGCGGCATTCCTGTCGAATGACTTCAGCACGCGCTGAGGAGGGGCTGCAGAGTCCGTGTCCATCTCTAGGACTAACTAAAGGAGCTTGGCTTCACCTACCACCACACACAAGAAGTCCGAAGTGATAATAAATAGGTTTGAATGATAAGGATATCATCTTAATGGCAAACTGAGGTTCCAGTAAGTCCTTCGAGTTAAAGCGACAATAGTTTAGCGTTGTCGCTGTATAAACACGCTGCTGCGCGAAATAACAGCTGAAGAGAGACTGGCGTAAGTATCATTCATCCGCTCTCCATCCTGCCGTCTCGGTTTTCATTTGACACCGCCTCATGCCACCCGTATTACCTGTCACATGTGCAATACACTGTTTTCACCTACGCGCGGTGTAGAGGCTGTAATCAAATAATAAAATAATTAGGCTAGCCTATATATCAATCATAAAATAACACATATCAGGATTGAGGGGTCCACCCAAAAAGACAATTCTCATAATTTAGTCACCCTGCACTTGTTCCAAACCTGTATGAGTTTCTTTTTCTATTAGCCTATACACAGAAGAAGATTTTGAAGAAAGTTGGTAGCCAAATAGTTGATCTCCATTGTATTTCTTTCCATAATGGAAGTCGATGGCAACCGTCAACTGTTTATCACCATTCTTCGAAATATCTTCCTTTGTGCTCAACAGCAGGTCTTTACTTTAGTGATGGGAATTAGTGTGTTTATAGCATTTATCATGGCATTTGGACCTGGAGCCCTTTGGAGATAAGCATGACCAGTGGGCGACTAGCTGAAAAAACCACAAAGCACTGGAAACCTTCAATACACAAAAACATTCAGCATTAATCTGTTCCTCTGGAAACTAGGTTATTTAAAATCATGTTGAACAGGTTTGCAACTTGAAGGTGACTAAATGATGGCAGAATTTACATTTTCGGGTGAACTATCCCTTAAGTAAGCAGTTTTAGTTTTAGTATAGCCTAGGAGCTGCAGTAAGTAGATTTACAAATTTACATAAACATATGTACATACTTTGTGGTGTAAATATGTAAAATAGCCTATCACATATTTTATGAACACATATTGATTAGGTCAATTAACCCTGAGAAAATTCATTAATATTCATGAAATTAATGATATAGCCTATGATTTTTAAAAACTATTATTATGCATAGGCTACACCCATGTTTGTTTATGTATTTACTTATGCATGCAGGTATTTTCATTCTTAGAGGTGTGTTTTGCTGTATTTTGTATGGCAGATGAAAGTAACAGCTATTATTGCAAAAGAGAGTATACTGCTATCTTAAATCTGTTTTTTAATAACAAATTTGCTTTTAAAGTAGGCTATGTGGTTAGTCTGTGTTTAGTCTTATCTTTAAGACTGTTTTAAAGGCACATACAACATGTTTAAACTTCTAGGAAATAAGGGAAAAAATGTTCATATTAATTCAATGGATCATGTTTAACTAAATAGGAAACAAATCCTCAGTGTAGTCATTTCTAACAGGAAAGCATAAAGACTGGAATTTATACTTTCACCAACTGTTTGTTTACCAGTTGTTTCCTGCCTCAGTAACAGTAAGATTATGGTCCTAACATCACTCTTTATAGAAGATGTGTCTAAATCAGAGCTACAAACAACAGAACTAAAGGGAAAATTCATGCATAGATTGTGTTTATTCGATTTCCTGTTCATGTAGGATGATGGTAGGTCTCTGAAGTTTAGATGACGAGGATGGGAGACAGATGTTTTGATTAGAGCTGCCAGTGGGTTACGGCGGCCCCCTGATTCCCCACACCCACATACAACAGATTCACAGGAGGGGCTGAGAACAGCTGGAGAAGGGAAAGTCACGATAACAACTCATTTGCAAAGGGTCGAAAATATCCATTTGATTTCTCAGTGCAATGGTTAACTAAAGCCCAACCAGGTTTTTCATGTTTTCAGTTTGGTTTCACTCAGGGTATGCAAGTAAGATAAGGTGCAGATATTTTATCATATAGTCAACCTATTTTAACATGACACATTATTCATAGAAAATAATTTCCCCCCTCTCATTTTTAATAATCAGACTTTTCTTTTCTCTAGTGCTAGTGTTTAAAGTATTTTTAAATGTGCAACAAGCACAGTATAACCCCCTTTAGGGCAGATATATGTCTGCAGCTGTCTTAAGCTTTTCCACAGGACAGCTGTGGGAATTCTGTTCGCTAGCTTACAAAACTAAACAGCTGGCATCAAAATCAGAATGAGGACTGGAGTAAATATGAATAACTAGTGGAAAAACACATGACATTATGAGTTCATACTTCATACACACTTATTATCTCTATATAATACAGAATATATATATATATATATATATATATATATATATATATTACAGAAAATTAATTTGATGTTAGCTTTTGATTTTTGTCAGTGTAAATGTGCCTTTTCAAATTTTCATAACAATTGTTACGAATTGTATATTATAATTTGGCATTTGTTACTGGTATTGTACACAGTGTAGATCTTGAATCAAATGCATCTGTGTAATATAAATTTATAATTATTATTATAATTACTAATTATAAAGGCCACGAGAGGGCATCATCTGATTTTTTGCCTGAACCGGATGAGGCGAGGCGACGCTGTGGGTGGAGTTTTCGAGTTCAGGCGGGAAAAACAAATACGTGATGACGCAACACGTTTAATGAATTGTTTCTGCGATGGCGCCCAACAAAATAAAACATATCGTCTCGTTTACATCACAGGTAAATATCTGATTGAAATGTCATGTTAACGGTTAGACAGTAATGGATGAATACTTGTAATATCTAACATTTTGTGATAACTTTCATGAACAGCATTGCGTAAAGATGACGAGTTCACTCATGTACATTCAAATAATGTTTTATATAACCTATTCTTGTACCTGTACAGTTATAATATAGAGCTAAAAAATATATGAATAAAAGTTATTTAATTTCTAACTATTTGAATGTGCATTACACGATACTTAGCATGTTGTTAAATGTAATAACGTTTCTAAATCTGATTAATGAAAGTTATTAAAGTGTTACCTCTAATAACTTTCTTTCTCACGTGACTGAATTGCAGGATAGTAAGAATGGTGTGAATAATCTGTGTGATGGCAGTGACAGCAGCAGACCGTGGTTGTGCAGCGTCCAGGACCGCAGTGGAGTTCTCAGGGTGGAATTACAGATGGAGCGAGCATCTGCTATAGGATTCATTGATGTTGGTGTGTTGGTGTTAACATAAAAATCACCTGCTATTATCTGATATGTATTCTTGAGATATTAATGTTCACGATATTCCTGTTTTTCTTTGTAAAGGCAACTGTGGCTCTGCGTTCATTCAGGTTGATGTTGGCCGCTCCTCCTGGTCATTAGACCATCCCTATGTCACCCTGCTGCCCACTGCAACACTCATGAGTCCAGCGGACTCGAAACAGGGCATTGGCCGTCAAAATGTGCGCATGTTTAAAAAAGGTATAATGCATGCAACTCAACCCTCTGTTATTCCTCACTTAGGGGTCACATTTGTGATTCTCGGTGGTCAAAACAGACCAAAGAAAATAAGTGTTTGTTTTTTTTAATTATTGTATTATATTTTATTTTAATAATATTTTTACTTTAATACTTTGTATTTTGAGTGGATTTCATAGTACTAAACAATATTCACCTCTAAATGATGCATCATTTATTTCTATATAAAATAATGTAAATACTACAAAATATTATTTTGAATTAATGCAACATTTAAGTTAAAAATCGAGCAAATTTATTTAAAATCCAAGCATGGAAGGCAGATTGGTGACATTCCTTAGTTGCTTATAAGAGTATTTGTAGACATTTTTTCCCTTTGGATATATATTTAGATATTATTCAATACTACTGCATTAAGGCTGATTAGTATATTGTACCCCAAGAAATTGTACATGTATTTTTAGTTTTGTTTTTCCCATTCATTTCCTATTATTTTTGACTGTGAAGATCAGAAGTGTAACTGTTTTTTAAAGACCATTTAGCGTTTTTTAATCAAACCACCATTCTTTTTTTCATATTGCAAGTGCGTAAGATTTAATTGTGTTCATTGGCATTGAAAGACTGAGCTAATGTCTTAAATGTGTCCATGTCCAGCTGATTTTCTCTCTCAGACTGCCAAGGAGAGCTGGGACAGACTGCGTGTCACCTGCACTCAGCCTTTCAACAAATGGTCACAGTTTGGTCTGTCCTTTCTGCGCATCCGCACCATGGAAGACGAGGCCGAAGATTCCTCAGCGCAACATGAAGATATTGCTGCTGAAAATCTGGTGAGAGGTTTGATGAAGGTTTTATCAAATTGTTGTGTTTAAACAAACTGCCTTTTCTTATACCATATATCGAGTGGCACAGCAACCGTTTTAATTGGTATGAATTGTTTTCACACAGCGCACACCAGAAAAGATGACATCCATGATGGAGTGGCTTTCCAGCCCAGCTATCCAAAACACGTTTTTTGGACGAATCACGGGGTGTGTGAATTAAGTGTCTGACACTTACTCTTTATTTCAAGACTAGATTTGTAGTAGCATGATATTCAGAAGGCACTCTGTACTCCTTTTCAGGAATGTCTCCTCAGATGCCCAAAGGAATGCTGGGAGTTTGAGTCAGGCAGAGCGCATGGTCATAGCCGCCCACTCTAACAGACGCTCCTTGTCAACATCCCCCTGCAGTACTACATCCAGCACAACACCTCCAAGAGAAGATAATGTGAAAACCCCACCAGGCAAGTTGTTATTTGGCCACCACATAGACAGAGTGGAAAAATGTATGCTTTTCATAATACAAATGTTTTTTCTGTCTTTATGGGCTGAATTAGGTGGATTTAGGACTTCCAGTGACCAAATAAAGACTCCTCAGGAGCAAAGGAAGAAGTCTAAGGCACGGTATGAATTGAGAAAAAAAGTCTGATATGAAGGATAGATGAATTGGGGTCTGCAGAGTTTTTGTTTTCATTCTGACCACAAAAAAGCACATTTTACTTTTTAAACCTAAATTACTCAGGGCTTATATATTTGATATTATTATTTAATAATAATAAAAAACAGTTAAAATAGTAATATTGTGAAATGTTATAATTTAAAATTACTGTTTTCTAGTTTAATGTATTTTAAAATGTAATTCCTTCATTTAATGGCAAAGCCGAATTTTCAGCATCATTACTCCAGTCTTCATTGTCACATGATCCTTCAGAAATCATTCTCATATGCTTATTTGCTGCTCAAGAAGCATTTCTTATTATTAACAATGTTGAAAACAGTTGTACTGCTTAATATTTTTGTGGAAACCGATACATCTTTTTCAGGACTCTTTGATGAATAGAAATTTCAAAAGAACAGCATTTATTTGAAATATATTTTGTAACAATGTTACTGTCACTTTTGATTTAATGTGTCATTGTTGAACAAAATTAATTTCTTAAAAAATACTATTTCTATTTCTATTTATTTATACAGTGGTGTTCACAAGAAAACAGTGTTAGGATAAAAAAACACATTATTTAAAATTATATTTATTTGTTTATAGTTATATTATTTAATGTAACAAAAACATGTTTTTCCTTTGGAAAACAAGCAAAAGACATACCAAATATTAAAACAAGAATGCTAAGAACTCAAATTGTTGTGCTAATTTTGTAATTTGTAACAAAATGTCTTATGCCTGGTTCAGACTATACGATTTTAGCCCGATTTTGCCACGATTTGCTTGACGTAGGGTGTCGTGGGGATTCGTAAACGACAATGGGCGTCGGGACGCAAGATTCCATCGTTTCAGCACGTGTGGTGTGTCATAGTGGACGACAACCGACTCCGCGTCTGCGATGCTTCACGACAGAAAGACTAGCATGTTTAATTTTTTTTCCGTCTTAACTTTTATAAAGAATATCTCTTTGGATTTGAGACTTTAGTCTTTGCAACTTTACAGATCTTCTTTATGCACCAAGAGCTTGTAACACTCTAAAGAGAAAGGAAAAAATGAAATCGCATCATATGACCCCTTTAAATGAGACTTTTCACTAGTGGTCCCAGACTCCTGGACTCTCTTGTATATATTCTTCACTCTGTATATAATTTTTATAGACCCATATATTCTGTATTCAATGGTGGTCATTCAGGCAGAGCCTTATAAACAGTGGCGCTCCACGGAAGAAATCCAGACCTACAGCATCCACCCATAAACCCAGCTCAACAAACCCACACAGAAGTGCCCACCAGGTTCCACAGGGCTCTCCTGAGACGAGATGTCCTCTTTGTGGAGGTAATGTGATTGTGTACATGCACATTTGGAGAGGATTTTTGCAAGCAAATATATCTGGTCATAATTTACTGCTCACAAGCTCTTCTTCTGTTCCTTTGATTTTTGTCCACGTAGAATCCTTCAGTCCTGATGATCTGCCTTTCCATGCTTCCACCTGCCTGGATGGTGATTCAGCGGAGCTCATGGGAGTCAGGGAAACAGAGGTCATGAGCTCACAGCACTCTTCTGTTTTTGGCTCTGGCGCAGATGAGCAGCATATGGTTCCATGTCCTCTGTGCTCCTTCCGATTCCCCCTAGACTGTATCCAGCAGCACGCCAGCACCTGTGGAGACACAGTAGAGCCTGGTACTGTGTGGCTGAACTGAGTGAAGCGCATGTGGCCTCAGAAACCTTTTCAAAATAGCAACATCAGGTATTCTCTTGGTTTCTCTGGCCTTGGACAAAACACCTGTCAATAAACATTGTGTATCCTACTGGCTTATGAATTTTGCAGAATGTACATGCCTCCTAAATGACTGTGTTTTTATTGTTTTTAGAGACATTATAGCATTGGTCACTATGAAATGTTTGACTGGCAAACATGTTTTGACTGTAAAAATGTTTGTCGTCTTATCTGCTTTTCACTCTCTTTGTGATATCAATTGGTATGTTAAATATTGTTTGTAATTGTTTACATTATATTTTCATAAATATAAAATATATTATTTAGAATGTTTAGATTTTGCCCTGTCATTTTTATCACTTGCTCAACAACAAAAATAAATACATTTTTTGATGAAAAAATGATTATATATACAATACTGTTTAAAAGTTTGGGGTAGGAAAGATGTTTTCTCATTTTTTCTTTTTCTTTTTTTCTTTTTTTTTAAAGAAGTCTCATGATCATTAAAGCTGCATTTTATTTGATCAAACATACAGTAAAAACAGTAATACTTTGAAATATTATTAACATTTAAACAAAATCTTTTCTATTTGAATATATTTTAAAATGTAGTTTATTCCTGTGATAGCAAAGCTGAATTTTCATCAGCAATTTCTTCAGTTTTGAATCATTTAGAAATCATTCTAATATGCTCATTTGGTGCTCAAAAACATTTATTATTATCAATGTTAAAAATGGTTGAGCTGCTTAATATTACATTTGTGTGTAAACTGTGATACATTTTTTGAATACAAATCTTTTCTTTACTGTAACTTTTGATCAATTTAATGTGTCCTTTCTGAATAAAATTATTAATTTCTTAATAATATTTCTTGACTGATCACAAACTTTTAAACTGTAGTGCATGTGTCAGAAAAAAACATTAAATATTTTCCTTTTTAAATAAAAAAATATATTTTATCATTTATTTTTTAATAATTTATGTTATTTTATCATTTATTTTCAATTATAGCCTGAAATGACCTCTCACACTGACCCTGTATCATGGGGCCATCCTTATTGTTGAGCCCTGATGTTTACCGAGGTGGTGTTGAAAGGAGGAAGTGCACTGATGGAGGAGTGGAAATTCAGAAGTCCTTGGTGAGCTCTAATGGGATGCAACATAATGTTACGGTTGCGTTTTTAATTGGTCGTGTCCTTTGGGGAATTGTACCTGTTATTTGGTTTGTTCAGAATGAAATCATTGACCCGTGTTTTGAGTCCTCAGTGGTGGCAAACCTTTGGACTCGCTTAACTAGTGTCTTAATCACTGTCCTCAGATCAGGATTAGAGCCTCATAAAACAGCGTTACTGGCTTGCTTTTGGAGCTGCTTTGTCTGCTTTCTGGATATACAGTGGGCATGTGAGACATCCATTGATACCAGCTCGCTGTAATATTTATATACCTGGTGTATCTGATGATGGAAAACCTCACGGTAAGAAATATACATTGTTCACTGTAAAAAGTTATTTTGTGAATTTGTTTTGTAAGCATGTATCAAGTCTTTGGAAATTGTGTATGTTATGCGTCTGATCTGATAATTAAGGCACTACAAAATTAGCAGTGTGTTTTTCTAATTCAATTTTTTTTCCATTCTATTGTCATAAATTGTAATATCAGCATAATAACTTGAGTAAAAAGTTACTCGTTTCATTAGTGTATTTTATTAGTGACCTAAAATAGAGAATACTGAATATTTATATTAATTTATTAATATAAAATTGATATATATATATTTATTGGTTTTTGAAATCTTAAAACTGAGGTTCACAGCCTTATTTACCCCCATTGTATCAGACCATATTTGAAGGCCTCCCAACATATTTCTTGTACGTCTGCTTTAATGACAAATCTGCTTATTTATCATTTTTGAATTACATAAGCTAGTGGCATTATTAAAATAACTACATAAAAAAAAAAATCTGTTTAAAAAACAGTGAATGTACTTGTTTAGATAAAAAAAAAATACTCAGAAATAGTCATTTCTAATAGCTTTACATAACTAGAAAAATGTATGTTCGTTAAAAGAAAAAGAAAAATGACATGACTTTTTGAGATTTTATTAATTTCCATGACTTTTTCAATATAGAAATCAAAACTTCCTTCCTATATTTTAAGATAATGAGAACATCCTGTTAAAATTCAATTAAAATAGCAGTTGTTAAAGCAACTAATTAAAATAAGAAATACAATGTCAGCAAAAAAATCTAGATGTTTAGCTGTTTTGGATTATTTCAAAAGTTTGTTTTCTCTCTCTCTCTCTCTCTCTTTTTTTTTTTTGGAAGTGTGTCGAGGCCCCCTAGTTGGTCTGAATCCCACATTTTCAATATGGACTCTTGGACCCCACTTTACTTTTATTAATTTTTTTGACTATACATATATGAGCACCATTGCATAGCTGCTTGAGTTTTTAGAAGATGAAAAAGAAACAGCAGTGAAATGGTACAAGAAACAATCTGTGAGATGATATATGAGCTTTTATTCCAACAGATGTCTAGACCTCAGTGTTATATTCCTGTTTTAGAGATAATTTGGTGTTGCTGTGTATTAAAATGATTTGATCTCACCTTTGAATAGCCAGAACAATGGCGCGAGATCGTGAACAAGAAGTTTCGCTTCCCTCCGGAGCTCCTCGGGGCCATCCGAGAGGGCAACGTGAACACGGTCTGTTCGCTGCTGAGGACGGGTGACGGCATCATCCGCCAGCTGGACGACTCTGAGGACAGGCTCTGGAGAGAAGCGCTGAACTTGTCCATCCGACTGGGCAATGAGGACACCATGGACACCCTTCTCAAAGGGGTCAAGTTTGACTTCCGGAAGATCCACGAAGCTCTTCTGGTGGCTGTGGACACCAACCAGCCTCGTGTGGTCAAGCGCCTCCTGGACCAGCTTGATCTGGAGAAGGGAAACAAGATGGATGTGCGCTCATTCTCAATGGCCATTTTTGACCAATCCATTGATGACTCCCAGTTTGCCCCTGGAGTGACACCATTGACACTGGCCTGTCAGAAGGATCTGTATGACATTGTGACAATGCTCAATCAGAAAGGTCACGAAATTCCTTGGCCGCATAAAATCTCATGCATATGTCTGGAGTGCACAAATGGACGGCAATATGATTTGCTCAAGTTCTCGCTGTCTCGTATCAACACCTACCGAGGTATTGCCAGCCGTGCTTACCTGTCCATCACCGCAGATGATGCCATGCTCAGTGCCTTTCGACTCAGCCGGGATCTCCGCAAGCTGTCAAAAAAGGAACCTGAATTTAAGGTTGAGTAAAGCAGGGCTCTTGGTTCTTTAGAAGGCCGCTTGTTGTTTTTCATAGTAGTAAAAAGCAGTGGCTAAATCCTACATGGATGATTTTTACGAATATATAATATAAAACACTGTATAATGGCATGACACTAATTAAATCTATTAATTTTCTGCATTTTTTTAATCTTATACACATACAGTGAGGATCAGCATGTCTTACATTTCTTTATTAAAATGTATTTATTTAAAAAAAAAAAATTGTATTAATTTTTATTTTTTAAAGGCATTAAGTCCAAAAATGTCAGGATGATAAAACTGTCCTGATATCATAATGAAGAATAGCCTGAAATTTAAATGATAATAATTTGGCATGATTTTTATTAATATTTGCAAATCGAAGTCATGCGGTCCAACAAACATGCAGAAATATATATATCGTTACACCACTTTTAGAGTCATGTAATTTCAAAGTTTCTTAAAACTGTTATAATCTCTGGCATATTTTTCTCAACCACTCTCTCCTTTGCTTCATACAGCCTCAGTATCTTGCCCTGGAGCAGCTGTGCCAGGAGTTTGCTGTGGAGCTGCTTGGAATGTGCCGGAACCAAAGTGAGGTCACCACCATCCTGAACAGCCTTGGGGATCAGGATGAGGACAGCGAGGATGAGTTGGACCAGCAGGCATTTGAGGAGGGCATTCCAAACCTGGCTCGCTTAAGGCTTGCCGTCAACTATAATCAAAAACAAGTAGAACCCCAAGCTTTAACCCTTTAAAACAAAGAAAAAAAGGAATTGCTATTTATTCATTTAGCTAATCATTGTATGTACTGCAGTTTGTAGCGCACCCGATCTGCCAGCAGGTGTTCTCCTCGATCTGGTGTGGGAACCTATCAGGCTGGAGGGGCAGCAGAACAGCCTGGAAGCTCCTGGTGTCTTTTGGGATCTTCCTGACCATGCCCATCCTTTGCCTCATCTACTGGATTGCACCAAAGTCAAAGGTTTTTGCCAAATATATTCAAATATTCAAGCATTCTACACTGTAAAAATGATTTCTGCTGCTTGTTCAATTTAATTTAAGGAATAGTTTGCCCCCAAATTAAAATGTACTCAACCACAGGCTATCCCAGATGTAGATGAGTTTGTTTCTTCATCAGAACAGATTTGGAGAAATTCAGCATTACATCACTTGCTCACCGATGAATCCTCTGCAGTGAATGGGTGCCGTCAGGAGTCCAAACAGCTGATCAAAACATCACAATAATCCACAAGTAATCCACATGAGTCCAGTCCATCAATTAACATCTTTTGAAGCGAAAGGGTGTTTTATGGGTTCACATTTGGGTTCACAACTTTAAACCAGAAGCGACGATTTAAAGTTAAAATGCCTTCATGATGGATTTTTTTTTACAAACACAGCTTTTCACTTCACAAGACATTAACTGATGGACTGGAGTCGTGTGGATTACTTATTGTGATGTTTTTATCAGCTGTTTGGACTCTCATTCTGACGGCACCCATTCACTGCAGAGGATCCATTGGTGAGCAAGTGCTAAATTTCTCCAATTCCATTCTGATGAAGAAAGAGAGTGAAAACATTTTCAGCATATTTTCATTTTTGGGTGAACTATTCCTTCGATTAAAATTAGTTGAAGCATCTAAATTGCTGGACATTTTGTTTCTACTTAACTTAATTGTGTCCAGTCTACTTTATGTAATGTACTTAAATATGTAAAACTGAAGTTTACTTAATTTTTTTTTTTGCACTAACTGAAACTGGCCAGTGAATTTTTAGTTTCTAGCATGCTTTGCATAGGGCTGGATCAGGAGAATAAATGTTAGTGTTATTTTATATGTTTTTGAGTACAGGGGAAGACCTGTTACTGTTTAATATTCAGTTATGTTTGACATTTATGAAGAGTTTCTGTTTTGTTGGTTTTTGTGGTTGCCATTGTGCTGAGAAGTAGAGCTTATGGTTAGGTTGTGGGTGGCTACAATAATTAAATTTAGAATGCATGTACTATATGTTAGGGTGACCATGCATGCCATTTTCCCAGGACGCGTCCTGGGAAAATGGCACGTATGGTCACCCTACTATATGTTGCTCCACGAGCAAAGAGCAATAGCTTTACTAATTTCAGTGCAGTTAGCTTCTTGCTTGTTCATTACAAACGATTGCTGTTTATTACAGAAGCTTTTTAATCATACAAAAACAATGAAGAGTTTGTATTATTCACTTTCTATAAGTAATTAGTTGACAAAGGTTGGGAAGACTTTACCTAATTTCTTTGTGTGTGCTATAGCTGTCTAACTTTAATTAACACATTGGAAGAAATCTATCCAAACACACTGAGTACATATTGTTTCCTCAGTTTTATCAAGTCAGTTCTATAGGTTTGTTTTTACAGACTTCCATGCATCCACCCATTCTCCAAAAAGCTGCAGAGTCGCTGGGATGCTGGAATCTATCCCAGCGTCTCAGGCTAAAGGCAGGGAAACACCCTGGACATATAGCCCATCGCAGGAATATTCTACTAAAAAAAGTGAACCATCTTCTATTTTCTTTTCAGTTGGGGAAGACTTTGAAGATCCCAGTGATTAAATTCCTTCTCCATTCGGCATCATATATGTGGTTCCTGATCACGCTTCTGGGGGAATCTATTGCCATGGAGGTGTACCGGGACAGCTTTGCCTCTCGTGAGCAGACCATCCTGCACAACTCCTTCCACATGGTCTGGGTGGTTGGTAGGTCTTAAGAACCAGATGTAAAAAATGGTTATGAGAAATTGGTAGGAAATCAGTTCTGCATTCATTTTGCTGCGAGATCTTCAACTTCAGGTCTGCATTTTTGAGCATTAGACAGTTATAAAACAATAATTTAGTGGTTATTAATCCTGTCAAACAGGTTTTTTCTGGTTCGAGTGTAAGGAAATTTGGATCGAGGGCTTGAAGAGTTATTTCCTAGACTGGTGGAACTGTCTGGATGTGATGGTTCTTAGCATGTACCTGGCTTCATTCGCCCTGAGAGTGGTCATCATGCTCAAGGTCCATTTCCTCTGCCAGTTACCTGACAAACAGGATGAGTGTGTCTACTTCACCGAAACTTGTGAGAGAAAGTACTTCACTAAGCGTCACAATTTAGCCTACAATATGGCAGCTCATTGGCCTGCTAGAGTAATGTATTTCTGGCTGTACAGTGCGTGATGAGTGGCATCAGGAGGATCCCCAGTTCATCGCTGAGGTGCTGTTTGCGGTGACCAGCATGCTGAGTTTCACTCGCCTGGCCTACATCCTACCAGCACACGAGTCTCTTGGTACCCTGCAGATCTCCATTGGAAAGATGATTGACGACATGATGAGGTATTCAGCTGTGTCGTGTTGATTATAAAGATTAGTAGTATCTTGAAGGAACACTTTGCTCAAGATGCTTCTTTTTCTCTCCAGATTTATGTTCATTTTGGTGATCATTGGAACTGCCTTCCTGTGTGGCGTCAACAATATCTATGTCCCATATATGATTTCACCAAATCTGGGAAGGTATTTTGTGTTTTATCCAATTGGATAAAGCTGCAGAAATCTAATCAATGAGTTGAGTTTGAGATAATCTTCATAATGGAGCAACGCCACATCTGTTTACATTTACAGGCTAAATGAAACCTTCAGCTTCCTCTTCTGGACCATGTTTGGTATGGTCGACCAGTCCTATGTGGACATGCCTGAGTTTGTTTTGGCTGAGTTTGTTGGCAGAATCCTTTATGGCATCTACACTCTGATCATTGTCATTGTACTGCTAAACATGCTCGTTGCCATGATCACCAACTCTTTTCAGAAGATTGAGGTTAGCCTGAAGAACTGACTCTGGTGTAACATATGTGCAGTAACAATATAAGCTTGGTGTTTCACTTACATTGTTCATCTCTCTAGGATGATGCTGATGTAGAGTGGAAATTTGCCCGTTCAAAGCTCTACCTGAGTTACTTCAGAGAAGGACTGACTATGCCTGTCCCTTTCAACATCATCCCCTCTCCAAAGGCCATTTTCTATCTTTTAAGGTTGTTTTCAGCTCTTATTTGATGGAGTCCATTATTGAGGAGTACAAAACAAAAGAAAACAAGCAATTGGCATTTGATTTTTTTGAAATTAAATAAAAAACTAAAAAAAAAAAGAAATATTAATGTATTATTTTATTACTTATTCAAGTATTATTTCTATTTTATTTTTTAAATTTAAGTAACATTATAAAAATGCATTAAATGTTTAAATATTTATTTATCGGTTTGAAAAGTTATTTATTAATGTATTATTTATTGTTACATTTAACTTAGTTTGAAATAAATTAAGCTTTTGTTTATTTGTCAGTTTGAAAAGTAATTGAATTTATTATTTATTATATTTATCTCAATTAAAAATATATTATAATCAAATAAACAGTTATTTCTTTGTCAATTTGAATTACATTTAATTTTAAAACATTAAATAAATAAATGTTGTTATTTGTCAGTGTGACAAGTGATTTATTTACTTTTTTTAAATTCATAAATTACTAAATTATTAATTTATTCCATTTTACTTTTAAGTGGCACTCAGTTTAGTTTAAACAAATTATTAAGGAGAAAAATGTTGTTTTGATCCCAGTGTTTTGTTTATTTTTTTCTTTATATTTTAGAGGAATTTTCAGACGGATCTGCTGCTGCTGCTTCAACTGTAATTCTGCTCCAGACTACCCTGCACTTACGTCTATGGTACACTTTTCAGTCTTTCAGGATTACAATTCACCTTTACTCTATATTACGTTTTACATGCATATGCTGATGTGCTATTCATTGCTATTTTTGACAAGAATTTATAATAAATGACCAATTATAGCATGTTGGGAAAAAAAATCTATGCCTCCTATGTCTCTTTTGGAAATGGAACACTGAAGGATGACGTGGGTCCAGGGGAGAACCGCGTTCCCTACAGACAGCAGGTCATCCGCGCTCTGGTTCAGCGCTACATCGAATCTGCCAGGAGAGAGTTTGAAGAGACAAAACGCAAAGGTAAGACTCACAAGGTTTTGTTAAAGACTCCATAAAATCTGATTGGATTGATTTATTCTGAAAGTTGTTATAATTTGCTTTTAGAAGACATTTTAAATATATCAGCTTCTATTTCTTTCAATAATATTTATTGTCCCTAGGACCATACACTGTTTTTATAAGCATACTCCTTCCCCAGTACCACCTGCAACCAACCCTTGTTTCTATGGCAACACTATTAAACACAATCTGTTTAATTTGAATAATATATAAAACCAAAGTGAGACAAGTGACAGTAGTTATGCAGATGCCTTATTGATTATCTTTAGTGACAAGTGATGTGACATGTGGCCAAGTATGGTGACCCATACTCGGAATTAGTGCTCTGCATTTATCCCATCCTAAGTGCACACACACACCGTGAACACACACCCAGAGCAGTGGGCAGCCATTTTTGCTGCGGTGCCCGGGGAGCAGTTGGGGGTTCAGTGCCTTGCTCAAGGGCACCTCAGTCATGGTATTGAAGGTGGGAGAGAGCGCTGTACATTCACTCCCCCCACCTACAATCCCTGCCGGTACGAGACTCGAATCCGCAACCTTCGGGTTACGAGTCCGACTCTCTAACCATTAGGCCACGACTTTCCTTTGTTATCTCTATAATAATAATATTTTTTTGCATTATTAAGACATTAACACCAGGCAATTATAGGAATTAATAAACATTTTACTCCTGAAATGGCCACATTTTGAGTAACTACACATGACGTTGCAGCCGTCAGGTAGTAACGGAGCTCTCAAAAAATTCCGTTTTGACAAGTTACTATTTACAAGATACAATTCAGGTTCTTCAAAGAAAAAAAGAAAGTAAAGGGGGTTAATTAAAATGAGAAATATCTTGTTTTTTAGTCATTTTGTCCTGTTTTAAATCATTTATAAGTCACCTTGAGGCTCTGGCCCCCTTTATACAGCGGAGTATATAAACTATATTCATACTATAGTTTTCACATGCACTGAAAATGCTGAAATGATCTGGAATGTCTTTCCTCCAGACGTTGGGAACAGGATCACAGAGCTGAGCAAAGTGTTTGGCCAGCTACATGTTGAAATGAAACAGATTCAAACGAACGCGTTTGACTACTCAGACAACACCAAAGGAGACCCGTCAGGAGGATCTTCTTTCCTGGGGAAGTACATCCTTGGAGCCAAGAACAACTTCAAGGGCTTCAACAGCAACGAGAGAAAGACTGTTCCATTACATGAGCCTATACACCATGAAGAACCAGCAGCGGAGACTGTAGAAGAGAAGGACGTGCAGGAGTCACCGACCACTGACACAGAGCCAGACAGGAAATCAAATGAAGAGCAAAACAGTGAGGGAGAAACAGATAATGCTGTGGAAGACATGAATGAGACAGAGGAGGAAGAAGATGAGGGGGACGTGGAGACGGGAAATGATGGTGTCACTAAGATTAGCATGGAGGTAGAGGAGGAGGAGGGTGGTGCTGAAAAGAATACATATACAGAGAATACAAGTGAGATAGTCATAGATATAGAGTCCAATACAGATGCTGAAAGTGAAGCTAGTGGAAAAAGAGAAGATGAGATGATGGTGGAGGAAACCAGTGATAATGTGGAGGAATTAAATGCAGAGGCGACAGGAGGAACAGATCTAAATGAAGCAGAGACAGAGGAAAACGGAGAGGTTGAGGAAAGTAATGGAACGACAGAAGATGTAAAAGAAGACGTAGGCCTAGTTGAAGTCATCAATGAAAATGCAGGTGAGGGCATCAAGATTGACCTGAATCAGACAAGCCTAGTGAGTTTCTTAGCAAAGAGCATAGAGGAAAAGCTAGAGAGGAATTTTACTTTCATTGGAAACCAAGTATCATCTCCAACCAGCAGCGATGACTCCCAAGACACCGGTTTTGGTTCTCAAGTATTTGACCTCTCAACTAGCAGTCCTTAATGATTGGAATCATTTCTTACAAGATTAGTTCGAAATGACTAGCTTATGAGAACCATGAACCTAGCTGAGAACATTTTTTAGTGTTTTAAGATATTAAAATGCTTTGCTACAGTGGCCTCAGAAAGTATTTAGACACTTTTGTCACACTGAAAATGTCTGAAATTTCATTACAATTGAAAATAAAACATCAAACCAAGGTGTAGTTTATCACTTTAACTATGAACATATTGACATCATCTACTGACATTTGAATACTGTTACATTTTGAACAATATAACTTGTTATTAATTTGAAAGTTTACAAAGTCTTTTGAAATGTTCACTTGTTCTATATTTCTTATAATAAATGGCAATTGGTTATGCTACAGTATATATTGCAGACATAAACAACTGTTCAAAAGTTTGGAGTCTGCAAGATTTTTTTGTAAAAAATAAAATACTTTTACATGGATAAAAAACAACAGTACAACTGTTTCCAACATTAATAATAATAATAGATTCTTGAGCAAATCAGCATATTAGAATGATTTCTGAAGGATCATGTGACTGAAGGCTGGAGTAATGATGCTGAAAATTCATCTTGCGTCATAGGAATAAATTACATTTTAAAATATATTCAAATAGAAAAGTTATTTTAAATCATAATATTTGACAATATTACTGTTTTGCTGTATTTCCTACCAACCTCAAACTTATGAACAGCAGTCTGTTTTTAAGTGTGCCTTACGTGACAAAATACTTTTTGGCGCCATTGTGTATACTGTATAACGTACTTTGAGAGAAGCATTCTGGTTGTTTGGTCCTCTGAAGCTGTAAAATAATTTGTAAATCATGTAGATTAAATCATCGTAGTAGTCATGTCATTAATAAAATCCATAGAGCACGATTTCACAATATTGTACTCATAATAAATATGCAATGTAAAATGGCACTGTAATAGAAATTAATTCCTATTAAAGCAATAATTTATTCATTTTAACTCTATATATATAAAAAAAACCTGAATACATAGATGCATGAGAGGAAATTTATCACCCCAGAGATCACACGCACATGTTGCAGCTTGTTTAACACCTGCTGTTTGTGACACAGCTGCTTTTCCCATGAGGCCTCTGACTATTCATTAACCAGTCACCTGCAGCCTCAGACTCTCCCCATGCACCTCTACTGGAACGTCACACCTGTTCCCATAACCATAGGAATATATGACCCTTTACTGCACACGGTAATGCTGCTGGGGTTACATCAGCAAACAATATTTGTAACACTATTATATTTGGTCATGAAAACGCTCAAAAAGTTTAACATGTTAATATACATGGTAATGCTGCTGCACATATAACACATGAAACTACCCCGTAGCAGATCTATACAGGTGGAACTGGGGAAGGTGGAGGTTTCTGACAGGGGCTGCAACAGCTACAGCAAGCACTGATCAAGTATTTGAATGTTGAGCAGCAAGCTCATTGGCTGCTGATGCAATTAAAACCAATTGGCTGCACCATGTGAATGATGTGATTATATCAGATTGAGTTGGCCTAGCGGCCCACACCATCTAGAGTTTCATGACTGAACTTTGCGTTATCAGTTAAAAGGTGTTTAAATGTAAAATAAGTGAAACTCAAAGTCAGTACTTAAAGCTAAACAAATCACACATACGTTTCCAAAAATATAATTCCCTGATGTCACGTCTGCATAACGCTAAAAATTACAATGAGTTCTATGTTAACCAAGTGAAGAGCAGGCAAAAGCACGCACATCGATCTCAACTGGGT